CGCAAGGGAGCACAAAACGTAGTACCCGACACATTCTCACGAATGGATGTTGAGGAAATCAGGTTGGCAGACCGGATAATGGACGTGTGCCTTGACTCACCTTATTTCAAGAGTGCCGAGTACGAAGAACTAAAACAGACCATTACCACGAGACAAGACAAACTACCCGAACTGTGCGTATCGGACGGATATATATACGAACGGACTCAATTTAATAGAGATGAGCTTCAAGAGGACCATACCTGGAATCTTTGGGTGCCTTCCGAGCTGAGGTTGGATTTGGTGGAAGCGGCACATCACTCACCTTCTGCAGGCCACGGTGGAGTCCACAAGACGATTGCCCGTTTGCGTGAGAAGTATTACTGACAGGTTAAGAATTGCGACGTATGCAAAACGATAAGACCCATTATAATTTTCAAAAGCCGCCAATGGGCAAACAACAAATAACTGAGCGACTTTTCCAACGTCTTTACGTCGATTTTATGGGACCCTATCCTCGTATAAAGGATGGAAATGTGTTTATGTTTGTATGTCTAGACCATTTCTCCAAATTTGTTTTCCTTAAGCCTATGCCTCGAGCGATAGCTGCAAAAGTAGTACAGTTCCTCGAAAGAGAGGTTTTTCATGTTTTCGGAGTTCTGGAGTTTGTACATTCGGACAATGGCAAACATTTCGTATCAGAGGTGTTCACCTCTTTCTTGGACAAGTACGGTACGAGGCATATACGAACCGCTTTCTACTCCTCACAAGCAAATGCTGACCAGCGAGTAAATAGGTCGGTATTGCAAATGATAAGGGCTTATATTGGTGAAACTCAGAAAAATTGGGACCAATGTGTCAGGGATGCAGCTTTCCCATTAAGGAGCGCAGTACACTCTGCCACAGAGGAGTCCCCTTACTTTACTGTATACGGAATGCCTATGGTGAAGGACGGCGGATCATATGCAATCTTACGAAGACTGGGGTCGATCAAAGATGTAGAGTGTAGAGTAGAATTACGAGAAGATAAACAGCAACTGATTAGGAGTAAGGTCTTTGACTCCCTGAAGCGAGCGTATGCTAGGGGCGAGAAAATCTACAACACCAGGGCGAAAGAGGTTAAATCCAAAATGGACAGGTGGTATACCGCCGAAATTTTAATTTAATTTTTTATGGGGGACACTCCTGGAAAGAGCATAGGGGTATACCACGCCAAAGATACCTTTGTTGCCTTTTTCGTTTAGTGATCTTAGTGCAGTTCTAGATATTCGCTTGTTATTATTGTTGAAGGTGTCTTAGCGTGCATTTACGTGTATGTCTTTCTTAACGTAGATTCTTGTGTATTATTATTAATTTATTTGGATTTTGTATGTATTTATTTATTTATTTATTTATCTCTACACACGTATATGTTTATTTAGTTATTTATATTTGGTTATCTACCTGACGATTGGTATAGTTACCAGCAACTGTGATATAGTTTTATGGCCTTATTCATAAAAAAGAAAGTAGCGTTAAAAAAGTTTATAAACTGAAAAATGTATAAAAACGTCATTTTATAAAGCTCTTTAAACCTACTTTATTTTTTATGAATAAGGCCATTAGGATAGATACCTGTGATAAAAATTATGACTTCCGACTGTGATGTAGTAATAATAGCGCATGACTGTGATATGGCTTAAAACAAGTTTTCATTAACATGGTATGTAGGAGTAAGTCTACTTATAAGAATGCGAGTCTGTGATATGGCATGTATGTAGTAGTGATGCCCAGTGATAGGTGGGGAATATTAGCAACTGAAATCACAGGGCTGGATGGCAAAGGAACTCAACAGTAGAGATGTGCCCGGCCTTGGGCATGGGTCGACGCCACACGTCGGGTGCAGGATAAGAATGTTGGCAGGCTACGTTAGGAACTCCTTTACGCACACGCTCCATGATGCAGCCACCATCGGCGGGTGTGAGCCTGTAACGAAGCCATTTGGTCAAGAAGCCAAGTGTTTGTTTGTGCGTGTATTCTGCAACCTAAACTATCTCAACCTATACCTACAACCCATATGCAGCGCAGCTGAGTATCTAATACAGCGACGAGCAGAGAGAGCTCTTCCTCTGCACGCGCCTATACAAAATGTATAGAAAGCTTGAAAGAGCTTTGGCCGCGGGCAAGACTGTGCCCATAACCGATCTAATTCTGTCACCGCCTGACCAGTCGCGTTCGATGTACGCGTATTTGGTGTGAATGTTCGATGTCCAACTAGTTGAAATAGAAAGTTCGAAGAGGGACGTGTCAAACCGAACGGCTCGTTTGTGGGTTGTGAAGGAGGATTTTTTTTGTTAAACCTAGATACGATCACCAGCTTAGTAACAAAATTAATAGAAAAATCACAGTTGGTGAAGGCAGTTTAAAGTGCGGAGGTATTAATATTCAGCTTGTTGTTTAGCAATAAACAGTTAGGGGTACTGAATACCGTCAGCCACCGGGACATTCAGCAGTCCAAAAGAAACTACTATTCCCGCCTTGTTCGGGGTAAGCAGGCCTTTTTGATTACATTTATTGATTGTGACGCGTGTAAGAATTGTCCTAAATAAATTGGCATAAGGTGAAAAACAGGAAGATGATGTAATGGACATGCGGGTTTTTATTAGAACAAAAATAAGTTAACTAAAGTAGATTGACTCAACTAAAGTAAATTGAGACGTAATTTTACAAAGGAAAAAATGATATAAATGATACACCTAAGCTGCTAACATAAAATAAGCTGGCCTAATAGGCATAGACTATGAGGATGGGGTGAACAGGAGGGCAAACGTATGCATAAACAAAATAAAATGCAACACTTGAGCATAGATGTGTGGATTCCAAATTTATTGTGGTAAGGTAGCACATAGGACCTCGGGTTTTTTTTGGACCAGTGTACAAGAGCTGCGACATCGCTCATCCCACGGATACGTATTCATATATGGGCATAAATCGAACAGCACCCATAAGAAATACTGGAAAGCGTACACACCCACATACACCCGATTTACATGATTCAAGTACTTGAAAGCAATTCTTGCTCATTCTCTTTTGTGTATTCTATTTGCTTTTACACGTTTCAATTCTGTTGTATTCAAGTTTTTGGTTCTTTAAATGGGAAGCAACGAAAATGCGAAAAGCAAAGCAAGAAAGTTGAAACGACTTGACGGTACAGACGCATGTGTACTCGTCCCTTTTCTTCTCACCCCCTCTCTTCCACATGCGAGCAGAATTGAATTCAATACTTGAACTGTGTAAAAGCAGTCACACATACAGGAGTAGTGGCTTGGATTCGGTTAAATTATTATTCGTATTGCCTTGTTTTTTATGGGCTTTCAAACATAGTAAAGTTCCACTTAGGTTCCGATTTTTTTGGTTATATTTTTTGTTAAACAAATTTTAGTGTAATAGCTTCAGTTTTTATTCACCGCTTTTTGTCCTGCGGGTAGACGTAGTCGCGTGGAACTGATCGCTGACTCGCCACTAATCCACTAGTACTAATGTGTGAACTCGATTAAGAATCATTTCCATTCAACACTTATCATGACTGAATTATATATGCATATATGTATGTAAATAGTTGTCCCTCCCACAGCTTTGTTTTTTTGGCGTTTGCTCTCCCGATGCTGGTACCACGGAGTGAACAGGTGAGTGACATTTCAGTGAACTATTCATATTATTATAGCTAAACATACATATGCACATATACTAGTTTTTTTTTGCAACCGTACGAACAAAAGAAAACGGGGAGATAACCTGTACTAAGGTGTACTAGTATATGCAAAATTAATAGATATCTAAAGGACGGGCTACTGACTTGACATGACGATTTGACGTACGAACTACGGTCAATAAAGGGAACTCCACTCGCGTGATCGTAGCCTCAGTGGAGTTCAAGGCTGTCTCTTTACACACAGATGGGGTGGGATGTCTCCACCTGACAGGACAGTCTTCTAACGCTATCTCTGAATCTGTTTCTCTATAGTTACGTGTCTATTTCTTTTCCCAGGCATGATATTGTTTTTTTGTTGGTGGCTGAGGGTTGGAAGTTGTGGCAAGGACCACACCTATGGCCGACGAGCTCAAGCCGGGCTGCCAGCATGCCTAACCTGGCACCGCTCCCTCCCAGAACAAGCAGAACCACAACATGAATTCGAATAGCTACGAACGAAGCATATACTTTTAATTCCTTCCTTTTTTTAGCTATGATTTAGTGATCGAGTTTTTGTATATTTCACGAAAATCGGAATACAATGGATTCAGTGATGGCCCCGATTACCACGAATGCGACGTTCAATAATAAGGTTACATTTTCTTACATACATCGTCATTTAGCATAACCTAGGACAGCATGTACTTACCTTTTTACAAGCCGATTAGAGCGAGGTTGACTAGCCGCTACAACAACAACAACAACAGAACAGTATCGGCTGAGCAGTTGCAACAGTGTGGCAAACTTTTATAATCAGGGCTATCACTGAATCCACCGTAGTCAAATTGTTTGTGAACTCTACGAAAATGCTTTCACTGAATTCGAATAGCTACGAACGAAGCATATACTTATAATTTATAAAACGGAATACGATGCATTCAGTGATTAGCACGAATGCGACGTTCAATAATAAAGTTACATTTTCTTACATACATCGTCATTTAGCATAACCAAGGACAGCATGTACTTACGTTTTTAACCGCCTGCCAAAAAGGAGGTTATCAATTCGTCGGAATTATTTCTATTTCGATCATTTTTTTTTATAGGAAAGATGGTACCTCATGAATGGTCCCATACTAATCTGATTTAGTTCCGATCACTGGGTACTGAAGAAACTAACGGTACTTCTAAGTTTTTATGAGTATTGAATCTATTTTTTTGCTTAAAAGTTAGTTATACATATTATCCATCTCGGTATTATTTTGTGCATTTACTTTTTTAACTCTTGTCATCTATTTTGAGGAAGCAGTATAAGTGAATTGGGGTCACTATGCAATGATAACATATCCAGTACATAGCTCAGACAGTTACGGATTAAAAATAATTGTCTGTTTAAAAATTTATTTAAAAAACATAACTCATGCTAATTAATTGTATTTAAAATAGTGTGTATGTCTTTTAATGCTGCTTCAAGGTTGTGAACAAATTCTTTTCCATCACGCTGTTGTTCGTAAGACGATACTATCGCACCACAATAGCCATCCTGTATTGAATATCTGTTATAATAAGTGTCTATTAGTATCGCGATCTTTGCACCCATACTATAGCTTACCCAATACCCAATCCATCCGCAACTACAGGACCAAATGAGCCCGCCAGCAAAGCATTTGAAGATAATGTTGATGTACTGATTATGTTGTGATTGATTTTTGCATATGCTTCGCTGTCATATATTTGTGGTAAACGTTTACCATGTACTAAAGCTTGGTGTTTTAAGGCAAACAAGTGTCTATCGAAGCCTTGCCCCATGGCAGCCTCTTTCACTAACTTGTTATGCACTTCGGAACACCGTTTAATAGAACTATATAATTCTTTTGATTCAAGATTCTTACTTTGGCTTTGCATAAGGCTCTCACAAAATTCTTTTGTTGCCATGGTGCACGGTCGCACAGTCTCAGTACGACCATGTCGAAACGCAGCCGTGCTACACGATTCATAAGTGCCAACATAACCGTTAAATGCACGCTTGTATGCAATTTGAAAAGAAAGTTGCATTATCGCATCAGGACTTAAGCCGTGCTGTTTGCATAAAACCTTGTTTATCTGCGGATAACGAAGCATGTCTATATTAAGCCGCTTCATTAATTGGTTATTAGTAAAAACCGTTTTCTCTACCGCACTTTTTATTAGTTCATCTGTCTTTAGTGTGATTGACCTTACGGCATTTGTGTCTCCCGCATTGCCTAACTCCAAACTAGGACTTGCAAAAGGATTTTCGGTTGTTTCTTTATATATTTCATTAAAATATCTCAAGACCGCAACACCATCGCCCCAAGAATGTTCGAAATTTAATGCAGCTGTACCATCCGCGCTTACTATTAGTGACACAGACTTATCGAACCAGCTAAAATAATAAGTATAAAAAAAACACATTTAGATTGCTGTTATAAAAGGCAATTTATATACATATGTATGTAGTTCTGTAGTATGAGCTACTATTGGGCGGAGAGTAAGAGCAGGGCTCGTATCGTCCTATACGATATCGTATTACTCGTCACGTAAAAACACATTTTTCAGTTTGTGACCTACGTGAGCATACTCACTAGCCCATTCAGTTTATACAACGTATCACGTAATTTTCTTCCGTATAGTTTTCGATCCGTGAACAGATGTTACCATTCGAGCCCAGGTAATGTATACGCCAAAAACGTAGTCTAGACTCTAGTCCTTAATTGAAAATATAAATCCCATACCATCCAATTCTGATCGTCTCTTGCTTATAAGTCTCAAGTCCTTAGAAGCTCGTAGGTCTATACTGTGTCTGTTCTTTACCCATTATATCACAACTGGAGTCATTTATTGTCCTTACGTGTTGGAAAGGATTCGATTTAATGTTTCCCAGCGATCTCTTCGGAACTTCTACCCTTTTTATGTGGATAACTTTAAAACTAAGTACGCCAGTAATGCCCCCATTACTAGCGCTTTGCGTCAATTGAATTCCCTTATTAGTAATGCTGATCTGGATTTTCCCTTTCAAGGATTGCTTTTTTGAATCTTCTGAATTCTGTATTATAGTTTTATTGAAATATATATAAAATGTATATTAATAGTTTGTACTAAGTTACAATTGTTCATAGTCTGTAAGGATTGAAATTCATAGACTTAAATAAATAAATAAATAAAAAAAAGCGAATCCGGTAAGAACTGGGCGATACCGGACATTGCGATTAAGCCCGCTCCATGGGTCATACTAGAAATTTAAGCCAATAAAATTGCTCCTTACGTTCAATCCTTTTTTTTTTTGAATTCAATTACAAAATAATATTGGCAAATAAGGTATAAGTAAAAAAATCTTACTGCTTATTTAAATCTCTTGGAAAATATTTGTTTAACGAATTCTATTTCTTTCCTTTAATAATTATAGCAGCCAAACCAGCTTATAAGTCTACAAAAGAATGTTAATAACTTTCTTGATCTATGTATGAAATTTAATTTAAGTCAGGGTTTAAGACAACAAAAATTTAAGCCTCAATATCCTTTTTACTGCTTTGAAATTACCTTACCGATTTTTTCCATCTCCAGCAAGTAGGTGCTTTAGCAATGGTACAAAATTTTCTTCATTATAAACGGGATCATCTGGAGTATCGAAACATAAGCAAAATAGCGCCGAATCCACTTCCGTTTCAATTAAACGTTTGTTTTCTGCTCCCAAATTCTCGATTAAATGCTGCCGCACGGTGGCCCATTCATCTCGGTTGATAGATGTCAAAACACCAATGGGCACGGGAGACGGTCCGGCCTGTTTATCCAAATTTAAAGCGGCATTTAAACGACGCATAATCACTCTAGGTTGTTCTATGTTGCCATCTTTGTCCAACACATCTACAGAATACATGTTTCCTCCACGCATAACCAATATATGTTTTGAGTTTTCATGCTGCACCAACCAATCTTTTCCTTTCCCTGGTATTCTAGATACTCCAAACAATCTGCTATACTGACTCATATCCAATGGAAAAGCCTTAAAAGCATATGCTGCATAGGTGGCTACATTACGCGGCACGAGTCGCACTAAATTCCGAAAACCTTGGGTGTCACTTTTCTTTGCATTCAAATGGTAAATCTCGGGTTCTAAGAGATCTGCTTGTAATGAACGCCAAAATCTCATAGAACTTATCACTAAGTTTGTGGCACGCACAAGCTGATTTTGATATTCATTTCTCTTGTCATGCTTCATTATGAGCAAAGGATTATAGTTAAGTGGTAATGGGCTCCGATCGCTCAGGTACATGTCAAACCTATATTTGAAAAGGGGATAGTAAAAAATATATACTGTGTTTTAGTATACTATAAGCATGTTCGAGCTCAAAAAACATACGACGCCCTGCGACCAAGAAAAAAACTTCCCGTTCGGCGACGTGATTTTCATAGAGAGATACATGTGCATATATTACATATATAATGGTCTAGCACGCCAAGTTTTGTTTTATTTGCACTGAATGATAAAGGGGTTATAACGAGTCTTTGTACTGCGATTAGAAAGCCTTAAAAGGTGGAGATTTTATTTCTGACGAAAAGTATTTCTTTTTAAAACGTTAAACTTTTCGTACCTGCATTTCTATCCACCACCATCTCTCCTTATCTAACTTTTTAAGGTTGTCGTTATTTTTACGCTAAGTGTAGCAATATTAAGTACCGAGACAGTTCTACGCACCGTAATGCCCTGGGTAGTTAAGTGGTAATGGGCTCCGATCGCTCAGGTACATGTCAAACCTATTTTTCAAAAGGGGATAGTAAAAAGTATATACTGTGTTTTAGTATAATATAAGCATGTTCGAGCTCAAAAAACATACCACGCCCTGCGACCAAGAAAAAAACTTCCCGTTCGGCAACGTGATTTTCATAGAGATACATGTGCATATATTACATATATAATGGTCTAGCACGCCAAGTTTTGTTTTATTTGCACTGAATGATAAAGGGGTTATAACGAGTCTTTGTACTGCGATTAGAAAGCCTTTAAACGTAGAGATTTTATTTCTGACGAAAAGTATTTCTTTTTAAAACGTTAAACTTTTCGCACCTGCATTTCTATCCACCACCATCTCTCCTTATCTAACTTTTTAAGGTTGTCGTTATTTCTACGCTAAGTGTAGCAATATTAAGTACCGAGACAGTTCTACGCACCGGAATGCCCTGGGTAGTTAAGTGGTAATGGGCTCCGATCGCTCAGGTACATGTCAAACCTATATTTCAAAAGGGGATAGTAAAAAGTATATACTGCGTTTTAGTATAATATAAGCATGTTCGAGCTCAAAAAACATACCACGCCCTGCGACCAAGAAAAAAACTTCCCGTTCGGCGACGTGATTTTCATAGAGAGATACATGTGCATATAGTACATATATAATGGTCTATCACGCCAAGTTTTGTTTTATTTGCACTGAATGATAAACGGGTTATAACGAGTCTTTGTACTGCGATTAGAAAGCCTTAAAAGGTGGAGATTTTATTTCTGACGAAAAGTATTTCTTTTTAAAACGTTAAACTTTTCGTACCTGCATTTCTATCCACCACCATCTCTCCTTATCTAACTTTTTAAGGTTGTCGTTATTTTTACGCTAAGTGTAGCAATATTAAGTACCGAGACAGTTCTACGCACCGTAATGCCCTGGGTAGTTAAGTGGTAATGGGCTCCGATCGCTCAGGTACATGCCAAACCTATATTTGAAAAGGGGATAGTAAAAAATATATACTGTGTTTTAGTATACTATAAGCATGTTCGAGCTCAAAAAACATACCACGCCCTGCGACCAAGAAAAAAACTTCCCGTTCGGCAACGTGATTTTCATAGAGATACATGTGCATATATTACATATATAATGGTCTAGCACGCCAAGTTTTGTTTTATTTGCACTGAATGATAAAGGGGTTATAACGAGTCTTTGTACTGCGATTAGAAAGCCTTTAAACGTAGAGATTTTATTTCTGACGAAAAGTATTTCTTTTTAAAACGTTAAACTTTTCGCACCTGCATTTCTATCCACCACCATCTCTCCTTATCTAACTTTTTAAGGTTGTCGTTATTTCTACGCTAAGTGTAGCAATATTAAGTACCGAGACAGTTCTACGCACCGGAATGCCCTGGGTAGTTAAGTGGTAATGGGCTCCGATCGCTCAGGTACATGTCAAACCTATATTTCAAAAGGGGATAGTAAAAAGTATATACTGCGTTTTAGTATAATATAAGCATGTTCGAGCTCAAAAAACATACCACGCCCTGCGACCAAGAAAAAAACTTCCCGTTCGGCGACGTGATTTTCATAGAGAGATACATGTGCATATAGTACATATATAATGGTCTATCACGCCAAGTTTTGTTTTATTTGCACTGAATGATAAACGGGTTATAACGAGTCTTTGTACTGTGATTAGAAAGCCTTAAAAGGTGGAGATTTTATTTCTGACGAAAAGTATTTCTTTTTAAAACGTTAAACTTTTCGTACCTGCATTCTATCCACCACCATCTCTCCTTATCTAACTTTTTAATGTAGTCGTTATTTCTACGCTAAGTGTAGCAATATTAAGTACCGAGGCAGTTCTACGCCCCGTAATACCCTGGGTATTCCCGATCATGAGCTGTTCACACGCTGCAACAAGCTTATCACACGCTGTCAATTTTTCAGAAACGAGCGACATTAGGACTGAATTTTCGTCGCGCTAGAAATCCCACATTCACTGGGAGATCAGCAGCCGGATTCCACCTTTCGCGATCGCTAAAACGCCTTCGCCAAAAAAAATCTATATGAGGTTTACAAATTTTTGCGATTATATCTTAAAAAGGCATCTCTAAATATCTCCACCGCTATTAGAAAAAGCTTTTTTGTTTTTTATTTTTTGATGTTTAGTTGAACCGGGATTGAACCCAGGCCCACGTCTGTCAAGTAAGCACTTCACTTTTCGAAATTGGAAAAGTTAACTACGGAATTGTAGCTTTTTTGTTGTAACTTTGTTGTGAAAAGACAAAAATTTTTAGCTGTAATTAAAAAAAAATATGGTATGTAATGCTAACTTGACACCATACACCTAGTCGATAGAATTGAGATATCCAATATGTTACTATGCCATTAATTGTAGCTTTTGACATAAAAATTAAAGTAGAAGCTGTTTTTCATGGTAGAAATACTCTCGTAGGTTAACCATTGCCTGCCGAGGGGCGACAGCTATTAGAAAAAGCTTATTTTGTTTTTTATTTTTTGATGTTGAGTTGAAACGAGATTGAAGCCAGGCCGGCCCACGTGTGTCAAGTTAGCGCTACACCTTTCGAAATTGGAAAAGTTAGCTACTGCATTAATTGTACCTTTTTTGTTGTAAATTTGTTGTGGAAAGAGAACATTTGTAGCTTTCCTTTTTAAGGAAAAAATGGTATGTAGTGCTAATTTGACACCTAGTCGATAGAATTGAGATATCCAATATGTTACTATGGCATTAATTGTAGCTTTTGACATAAAAATTTGTTGTGAAAGGAAAACATTTTAGCTTTCGTTTTTCTGGAAAAAAATCGACTTGGACATTTTTCGAACAAAATTTAGCATGCCCTTTTGTCGATTAAATTGAGATAACGAAAATCTTAAAACGGCTTTAATTGTAGCTTTTTTGTTGTAAATTTGTTGTGGAAAGAAAAAATGTGTAGCTACGTTTTTTAAGAAAAAATGATATTTAGTACTTACTTGGCACTATACACCTAGTCGATAGAATTGAGATAATGAAAATATTAAAACGGCATCAATTGTAGCTTTTTTGTTGTAAATTTGTTGTGGAAAGAGAAAACTATATAGGTGATGCAGGAGAATGAGTACATAGGCATAGGAATTTTCGGAAAGAGTAGGGGCGGAAGCTCCGCTTCTATTGTGAAAGATATGCAATATATCTTGTGCATATAAGTCCGACTACGTTATCCACAGTGTTTTTGCGCAGAACCAACATTAAAGTTTCCAAAAAACTGCATAATTTATTAATTAACTAGTGCTCGCTAATTTGAAATCTTTATTTTAAATTAAAGTTTAATTCTTTCACTACACTTGTATGTTAAAGTTTTTAAACTCGGCTCACGCGTTTGGACACAAATACCCAACATAATTGTACAAATAACTAAACCGCACCGTATTTCTTAAACTTCCATAAAGTTTATTAATGAGGAAAACCGCTTTTCCTGCAAAAACCTGTAAAACCTATAGACCATGAAGCATCTGGAAGGTAACTTCTATTCATGAAATTCACATATGTACATACACGACAAATTTCATAATTCCGTCCATGCTTTAGCCAACTCTACTAATCTATTAGCTTCCACATCATCTTTCTCATCACTAACCATATTTCTACTTATAAATTTTTTAAATTTTATAATAAAGCAATTATTTTAAAAATGATGTAAATGAAACACTAAAGAAACAAATGTAAACAAACAAACAGCTGTTCACAATTCAGTCAACCATTCACAATAGTACAAATTTTTATCGATCAAGTTACACAATAGCAAAATAAAAGATCATCGAATCGATCGACAAATTTCTATTCTACTGCCAGTCGACACTCGCAATAGGGGCCTAAATCTTGTTCGAAAAACGGTCAACTAAATTTTTCCGAGAAAAACGAATGCGACAAATTTCTTATTTTCAGAACAAATTTTTAAGTCAAAAGGTATAGGGCCTAATTCTGCACCACGTCGAATTTCCGTCGTAGTTACGAAAAAAGAACAGTGGCAACCTTGGCATTCTAGTCTCCGAACTGTTATTCGAATTTTCCAAAATTACGAAAATTCAAGTTTCAAGTGTATGTATTCCGGATCACTTCGCAACAGTTATTCGTAGGTAGTTTTTCCCGAAAGAAGATCAACGTCGGAATCTGCTTAAATTTTTCACATTTAAGTACTGTGAATTAAATAAAATGTATGTACAAAATTGTACAAATACTTTATGCGTTTGTATTTATATGAAATATATGCATAATAGGCCGAGGAACACCAATCCAAGCCAATACGAATTGTTGGTAGAGCTACTCAGCAACAGGAAGGACATTGCACAGGTCGAAGTGATGTGGAAGACTTTTGGAAGCAAGCCGCTAACGAGCTGAATGCTTTGGGACCACCATGCAGGGACTGGGCAGGGTGGCGAAAGGTTATATATACAATTGATGACAATTTGCTTTAAATTTTTATTAACGTATCTTTTGGTTTCAGACATGGCTTGATTGGAAGAGCTACGTTAAAAAGAAGCTTTCCCACAACAAAATGGAG